ATCACATGTTTGCCCTCCACACCTGCAGCACAATCCTGGCAAAATGCACGCTTGGTTCCAGGAGCTTGCAGATGGGCGCAAGGGGAAAACCGACTGAAAAGAATCCCAAATCAGAGAGCGCTTTCCGTTCTATTGAAAAAGTGTCGGGAAGCTGCCTCCCAAATGTCACCCAGGTGTCCCCCGCTCAGGTGCGCCTGTGTGTTTCAGCGATGCGCCATGATTGAGCACGACAAACCGGATGAAACTCGGTATCGGCATCTCAAGGGGGGGGAGGGGGGAGGCGTTCCCCAGCCTTCTATCAATCTCTCAGAGGCACGGATGGCAAAAAGCTTGCGGCACGGTAAAAATAGCCATGCCATTTGGTTTTTGCACGAGTAACCAGAACGGCAGTGTTCAATAAATCATGACAGCCGAAAGTCCAATGGGCTTAGAAACGAGGATTTTTTTGTTTTTGTTTTTTTGGTGGCACGTTATGTTGCCCTGGTTGGCTTTTATACTGCAAATTGAGAGAGAATTCAAAAAAGCAGAAAACCTCGCCAGCCGGAATGCAGCTGCCTTTCCCTTCTTAAGCTTCACTTGTTGCAAACGGCAAGCACCAAAGCGTGCATTATTCATGCAAGCAATCCACGGGCTACAGTTGTGCCGGGGGGGCAGGGGTGATCCACCCACTGCAAGTTATAGACCACGTCTAGGAGATTCTCAGTCTTCCAGCCCATGGTTGTCCCAAAGGTGCTTTTTTTCAGGAGGCAACTGGACTTTCTGGTTTTTCTTTGAAGTCGTTTCGCTTCTCATCCGAGAAGCTTCTTCAGCTCTGACTGGATGGTGGGGAAATGGAAGGATTTATACTCCTTGCAGACATCTGGTCATTTGCGTCCTTTTAGAGGGTCGTTGAGGCCACTTGGAGATTTGTCTGTGTCCTCCTGGTTCCTGCAGTCTGCGATTTCTCTGGAAATCCGTTCATACTCCCGCACTATTCAAAAGGTTTTCATCCCAAAGTGCATTGCACAATGTCTATGGAGATTCTCAGTCCTCCAGGCCATGGTTGTCCCAAAGGTGCTTTTTTTTTTTTCAAAAGTCCATTTGCCCCCTGAAAAAGCACCTTTAGGTTGGACATGAGTGGAAATAGCACCACCAAGTACCCTCTTTCGCTTGACCGCACTCCAAAGTGGCAGAGAGACCAGAGACATCGTCTTCTGGGGAAATCAGGGGTTGCTCCCTAGCTGATGAAACAGGATAAATCGCAGCTGTGCTTTTCCAAGCAGCCCTCAACTTACAACAAGTTCATTTAGCGACCGTTCGAAGTTACAACAGCACTGGGGGAAAAGTGACTTAGGACTGTTGTTCATACTGACAACCATCCTAGCATCCCTATGGATCCCGTGATTGAACTACAAATGCTTGGCAACTCGTATTAATGACGGTGTCCGGTCACTTTTTGTGACCTTCTGACCAGTGAAGTCAATGGGAAATTCACTTAACAACCATGCTACTAACCCAACAACTGCAGGGATCCAGTCAACAACGTGGCAAGGAAGGTCGTAAAAATGGGGCAAGAGTTTACTCAACAGCTGTCTTGCTTAGCGACAGAAATGTTGGGCTCCATTGTGTCCGTATTACCCCCCCCCCCAAAAAAAAAGGATAGAAGAGGGCAAACTAAGAAGATGATCGGAGGGAAGTGAAACCAGCAGATCTGAGAAGTGGATTCTTGATCTGTGCATTATTAGACTGCGCAGTTAAGTTAAAATAAGTCTCGGGTATTTTTTTCCTTTTAACCAGCTAGTATGCCCTTCCGTTTAGGGAGCTGTGCAAACTTCAAGAGGAGGCAGGATCTGTAGGTTGCTTTCTTTGAACTACAAAGACCATCTTGGTAATTGACTTGATGTAAGGGTAATGTGTGGGGTATTAAAAAAAAAAAAAAAAAAAACCTTCCAAAGCTTGGAAATTGGCTCCCTTGTTGACCTGCCTCCTGCGGCATTTGGATCCGTGCTTTTCTGCTGATTTTTCCCAATCCGAGATATCAATTAAAGCCCTATTATATTTGAAGGTTAAGAAACCTTTCTCTCTCTCTCTCTCTCCTTCTCTCTTTCTGCAATGGAGAAATTAAACAACCGGCTTTTAACGCAGCAGATGCACTTCCAACCTCCTGGGCCTTCTGACTCTGAAGCCGAGAACAAAACATCCTATCAAGGGTTTCTAAATGCTCTCACAGCGACACACCAAATATCGTAGCGGGGCACCAGCATGAGAGAATGAAAGAGGAGAGAATGACAGATCGGCGTTTCAATCTCTTTAGCCATTTGGGGGAGTCGAAACAGAGCAGGATTCCGTGATGCTATTTCCACCCGTCCCCTTTCTCTGAGATTCTGAAAACGCCTTCCGACCTGGCAGGGGACCTTTGAATATTTGGTCACAAGCAACAAGTTTGATCCGCTCAGAAAGAAGTTCCGAATCGTAGGATTTTTGAAAGGAAAGTTAAAACCTTAGTTCACAAAACCCCAGAAGCAGCTGAAAGCTTTCCAAAATAGCTTGCCAAATCCATTAAGCTCTGCCACTGCAGAGCAGTAAGAGATCCTATCTATTTTCCAGTACCATTACTTGAAAAAGGAAGGGGAAAAAAACTGGACGTTCACTGTGGCTGTAACAGTGAGTCCTCAGCACGGCAATTGCCAAGTGAGGCACACTTCCAGGAACCATAAAGAAAATGTTTCCATGATTTAAAAAAAGAAAAAAAGACTTGTAGGAAGGGGGGGGGGAGAAATCCGGCAACTCGCTGAGACGTTCGATTGTTACTATTTTGAAGACTCTTAAGCCAATTCCCGCAAGCAAGCAGAAAAAGGAACAAAAACGTTTCTAATGAAGAACATTTTAAATAGAAAATAGAGATGGGGAAATATATAGCTTGAAAAACTATAACTAGGGATATGGACACTGTGATTCTGGGCACGGCAGAGGTAATAATAATAATGAGGAGGAGGAGGAGGAGGAGAAGCAGCAGCAGTAGTCAATGGTATTTGTAATGCATTTTTGAATGTTCACTTGACTGAATTTCATGCTTAATGAATAAAATAAATAATTATAATACTGGCAGCAACCCGTATCTGCAAAAAACTGCGCTACTCAGAACATCTTATATTTTAAGAAGGCACTTGGTTGATACCTAGGACGCTGGCAGCAACCCGTATCAACCATTAGCACCAGTCACTAGTATTTGTGATGCATTTTTGAATGTTCAGTTGGCTGAGTTTCATGTTTCATGAACAAAATATATAATAATGATGATGATGATGATGATGATGATGATGATGATGATGATGATGATGATGAAGAAGAAAATGCCAGTCGAAGAAAAAGAACTAGAAAAAATAATGAAATATCGCGACTTGGCCATCAAAACTATACGACTATGGATGAAGCATGTAACAGTAATACCCATTGTCATCGGGGCACTTGGTACCACGTCCAAGAATTTTACAAAACATCAATAAATTGCAGCTTCCTGCAATAACACCAGCAGAACTGCAAAAAACTGCGCTACTAGAAACATCATACAGTATATTTTAGGAAGGTACTTGGTTGATGCCTAGGACGTGGGCAGCAACCCTATCAACCATTAGCACCAATCAATGGTATTTGTGGTGCATTTTTGAATGTTCAGTTGGCTGAGTTTCATGTTTTATGAATGAAGTATATATAATAATATACAAAGCATACATCAACAAATTGCAGGTTCCTGCAATAACCCCAGCGCGGAACTGCAAAAAACTGCTCGGAACATCGTATATTTTAAGAAGGTACTTGGTTGATACCTAGGATGCTGGCAGTGGTATTTGTGATGCATTTTTGAATGTTCAGTTGACTGAGTTTCATGTTTAATGAATAAAATATACAAAGCGAGAATTTAGAAGACGGCAACAGCAGTAAGTGCCGCCTATGCAAAGAAGCTGAAGAAACAGTGGACCACCTGGTAAGCTGCTGCAAGAAGATTGCACAAACTGTCTCCAAGCAGCGGCATGACAAAGTAGCAACAACGGTGCATTGGAAGATCTGCAAGAAATATCATTTGCCTTTAAGCAAGAACTGGTGGGACCATAAAATAGAGAATGTCATAACAAATGAAGAAGTTAAATTGCTCTGGGACTTCAGAATCCAGACAGACAGGCACTTGCCACATAACACCCCAGACTTAAAAGTTGTCGATAAGAAAGACCAAACAGTCTGGACAGTGGATGAGGCAGTGCCTGGAGACAGCAGAATAGAACAGAAGTATAGGAGAAGATAACAAAATACAAAGATGTACAAATAGAAATAGAATGACTATGGCAAAGGCAAGCAAGGGTAGGACCAATAGTAATAGGCGCCTTAGGTGCAGTCCCAAAACAACTGGAGCACCAATTGAACCCCATAGGCATTGACAAATTGGCCATCAGTCAACTGCAGAAGGCGGCTTTACTTGGAACTGCTTCCATCCTGCGACGATATCTGTAACACCATCAAACATCTACATTTGCCTATCCCAGGTCCTTGGTAAAGTAGACAAAAATGCCAAATCCAGACTAAACATCTGGCTGTCTATATGATGATGATGATGATGATGATGATGATAATGATGATGTTGTCTAGGGGCAATGGATACAAAGATTTTTTTGAACTGCAGGAGCAGAGAATAGAGAATAAGAGATTCAAAAGCTGGGAAATAGTTACTGGCTTCTCTCAAGCCGAGTCTTAGGCCACAGAAAAATAAAGAAAACTGCAAAATAAATCACGAAAAAATAGGCTCCATGTTAGCAGTGGCAGAATTCAGCATTTCTCTCAACGTACAGTTCTGAGTTGCTCGGAGAACAAGTAATTTAATTATTTTATTGCAAGGGAGGATAAACAAAGCTTACACATTTTAAAATTTGCTTTTTTTGAAATGAACAAACCTGAAATCAAACAAATAGCTGGTTAATTTACGCCAACAATTTTAAGAAAGCAGCTGCTCCAGACTCTCCCCAAAATACCTCATTTTCCTGGGTGAAATCCAGAGTATCTTCTCCGGATGCCAGCAGCGTATGAAGAATCCGTTGCTTCACCTGTTCCCACTCGACCAACATTGATTCTCGATGATATTCTTCTGCCATAGCAAAGGTCTGGGAAGAAATGGATAAAGAGAAAAGAATAAGCCATCATCCCAACTTCAGTGAAAGCCTTGTAGTTAGAAAGAAGCTATAAAATGCTTCGGTTTATCATCCAACAAGGAACTCAAAGAATAATCTGGGCTGGCTACTGGATGTCTATGGAGGTTCTCATTTAGTTTAGTTTAGTTTAGTTTATTGTCATTGCACCTTGTACGACGAAATTGAATGCCATATTCAGTGTATATTATGACTCTAAAAATAAAAACACAAATACACATCCTTCACATGCTATACAATTGAAATTGAAAACCCCTGATATTAAGATTGCACTATACCGTGGAATTCAACATAGTTACTGCTCTGGGATGGAAGCTGTTTTTCAGCCTATTTGCCCTTGTTTTTATTGCCCTGTACCGTCTGCCAGATGGTAATAGTTCAAGAAAAAAGGGGGTGCCCAGGATGAGATGGATCTTTAAGAACATTTAGAATTTTCTTAAGGCATCGGGAGCTATAAAGCTCTTCCAAAGAGGGGAGAGGGCAACCTATGATCCTCTGGGCAATGGCGTTGGCCCTCTGGAGCCCCCTCCTATCTGCCACTGTGCAATTGATAACCATACACAGGTGCAGTAAGTTAAAATATTCTATATGGTGCAGCAGTAGGTGGTCACCAGCAGTTTTTCATTCAGTTGTTGTTTCAGGTAGTATCATTTCTACTGGTCTCTTTTGACCAGGGCGGCAATGTTAGTGCCCCAGGTCAGCTCCTCTTTTAGGACAACACCCAGAAACTTAAAGCTGGCCCCTTGCTCCACCCGGTCT